GAGAGGAAGAGAAAATTCCGCTGACTTATCGGTTTGGTTTAACCTTTCTCCTCTGACAAATATAAGAAGCTCATGTGATAAATACGAAAATGATTTATTACACATTACACTTTTTATCATGATTATTACAAAACAAAAATAACGTCAAAAAAAAAAAACAGATTATAAATTGACTTTTATCATTACAGATGCTTGCCTCAATGTATGGAAAGAAAAGACAAAAATCATTGGAATGAGAAATATCGGATACGAATCTTTTATAAATTACTGCATGTATCTTCTAATTCAAATGAGAAAATCTAGTTTTCGATTTATTTATGTTAATAATTAAACAGATAAGAAAGAAATATATATTAAACAAGTCGTCCTCTTAGGAAAGTTCCTTGTTTTGTTGAGAAGATCAGCAGAAATGTATCTTATTATAAGAGTGGGAAGAGATTTGTCTTCCTTTGAGATCCGCGAGTTGATTAAGAAACGTCCCATTCGTTTTTATTAATTTTAACTCGATGTGCGAAAATCAAGACTTTTCGAACAACCTACTTGACCCATGTATACTGGTCATGGAACCATGATTTGAAAGTTTTGTTGTAATATGTAAAGTTCTTTTTTTTTTTTGTGTGTGTGAAAATCACGTAAAGTTATCTTTCAAAACAAAACAAAAATCATGTAAAGTTATTATTATTTTATTTTTTGAAACCTAATCATGTAAAGTTGTTACGAGAAAAAAAATGTAGTTGTGGTTATTTTAGAAAGAGTTTATATAAGTGATACGCTTGAGACGTTCATACTAATGGATTTTCAATATTATATTTCTTGTTACGGAGAAATAACATTATTTTCTTACTTCGTATGATGTCGACCATATCGATCATTTCAGTTGTGCATGATTATAGAATAAAATCGCATGTCTATTTTTTGTTTTTGAAAGTGATTATTTCATTTTCTGCTCTCTCCATGATTATAAAACATTTATATACCATATCATGCTCTCTCCATTTTATTTTTGAGAAATTTCAAAAAATGCCATATTTCAAGTGCCATTTTACAAAAATACCACATTTTTGAAATCTTTACAAAAATGTCACTTTTTCAAAAAAAAAAAAATTTATATTATTTATGTTTGGGTTAATTATGTTCTATTAGGGTTTAGTTATGAGGTTTTATGGATCAAAACATTTTTTAGTATTTAGAATTTTAAGATATATGGTTTAAAAATCTATAATTAGTGGCATTTTTGCAAATGAACACCCCTAAATAACATTTTTGCAAATTTACACATAAAAAGTGGCATTTTTGTAATTTTCCCTTCATTTTTTTCTAAAACCATTGTTATTTCTTTATATATTTAACAGTGAAATGTGTAACCACGTTAATGTTTCAGATTATAATTTTTTTCTTTTTTTGGTTGGCTAATAATTTATTCTCTTATACTTTTATCAGATTGAACAAGTCATTGACATCACAAAACATACATTTACAGATATCATCAACGTGTATTTCGTAAAACCGTTGAAGATTTTATTTTCTCTATCGAAACGATAAGATTTTGATGTGTACACGACAGAGACTATTGAAGTTTTGATTTCAACGACTCTTATTGGACTTATGTCTGTGTATATATTTTCCAAATGGAATCTGTATAGACTGATTTATTAAAGTGGAGTTCACGACGAACCTCGACACAAGAGGCGTGTCAAACCAATCAAGTCTGGCAGGGATATGATCCTTAGTGCTGAACTCTTTGTAGTGACAAGTACTGACCACACGTGCGAAATCATCCATAAATTCAAAATTGTGAGTGGTATATTATTATTTAATCAAGAGAGCTAGTTCATACTAAAAAATTGATTGGTAGCTAGCCACCAACCGCTACGTTTTAAGACAGACTACTCTGGTGGTTACCAATCAATGAT